AAAATAAAAATGACATAATTAAAATTAGAGCATATTACATTAGTATTAATTCTTATTATGTAGGCCATTATATTTTATCAAAAAACACAAAGCTTAAACATGATTAATTGATTATGAGCATCTAAAATTTCAAGCTTATTATTAATTAGTTAAAAATATAAAATTAATATCTCTCTCAATTAAAAACCATGAGCATTCAAACTTATAAATTAGTGAGAAATTTTAAGTAGTTTAATCATTTTCTTGAATAATTAAACTTTAACTAACATCATTTTAAAAGAAATTACTAAAAATATTGCTAACCTTAAAAGTAAATAATAAAGTATTGAAGTTTCAGTAACCTATCATGCAAAATATTTTTCGATAAATTATCTCATCGATTGTATATTAGAGCACCCCAAGTAAAATAGATATCAAATAATTTTATGTATGCAATTCAAAACAGAGGATAAATATTATATAGCATAACAAAATGCTTATTTAATTGAAAAGGTTATTGCCAATTTAAATTTCAAAAATAATTCTATATAAATATTTAGGAAACATGAGTTTTCAATGATTTTTCTTGCATATCATATTTTTATTGAAATTAGTTTTCTATTTTGAGATTCATTCTTATAACTTTAAGTATAAGAAATATTCCTTAAAATGATTAATAAGGATTTGAGCAAGGCCACTAAGGAAGAATGTATCTCTTTTCTTTCTTAAATCCATTTATGGTTAAACTAGGTTGAAAAGTTGCTGAGGAATGAAGGCTAATGTAATAATATTAAATCAAAAGAAATGGTAGGAGGCTAATGAAAAAATAAATTAATACTTAAAATTCTTAGAAAAACAAAAATCATTTGCAACTTTCTTAAATTACTTCTAAAATATTTATATAATTAAGGTATGACTTTAATTGAAATGAATCAACCTAGAAAAGATATTAAAATGAGAGAATAAGCTAAATAGATTAATAGTAACCTATATACAGATTTTTTGGATTATTCAAATATAGAACTAACATAAAATCCATAAAATGCATTTGTATTAATTCCAAAAAGTAAATGAAATCAATAATTTCAAAAGGCTATGCATTAAATGAAGAGAAGAAATATCAAGAAGCAATCTAGTAATGTGATAAAAATTTGATAGAAGAACCTTAACATCTACATGCATTATATAGAAAAAGATATCATATATTATGTACAACAGGCTTTACTTTATAAGATTTGAATTAACATTAATAATCAATTTAGTGCATTGAAAAAGCATCAAATTCTGATTTAAAATATTCTATTGGTTATATGATGTAGGGTACTTTACTAGTTTTATATTTTAAGGGTATTCATTATAAAGTCTTGGTAAATAAAAAGATGCAATTGATTGCTATGATAAAGCAATCTAACTGGATCCTAATTATGCATCAGCCTATTTCAATAAAGGTTAATCAATTTTTTGATTTTAATAGGTTATTTACTAACTTAATTGAAGAAGTATTAATAAGCCAAAGATATTTATGAGCAAACAGTTTTGTATTGCAAATTAGAATAAAATTAGTGAAGACAATGATTAGGGAATTAAAAAATATGAAATGAATATGTTTAGACATCATTAATTAAATATATCATAATTATCCTATAATATTTCAGAAAATAGTACTTTTGTTATAATTCTCAACCAAACTACAATGCCTTTCTTTTATACAGAAAAATAATTTTTATTCTTTTTGGCAATATTTTTTATTTCTATTGTCACTTTTTACGTATACTATCTTCCTCCTGAAAAGTTGACATTCTTAACTTCATCAAAAATTATTTGATTTAATTAAATATTAATTATTAATCAAGTGAAGATAAAATATGTAAATTGATTTTTATTAGCCATATAACCAAGGAATCTAGGTATTAAATCACTAAGGATCTTTCTTAATAATCACCTTTGCATTTTAATCTTAAAATCGAACACATCAAACACATCAAACAAAAGAATTTAATAATCTTTTAAATCTTTAAGTTTAAATTATAATAAATAAAACCTCAATAAATGATTTTTATCAAATCTGCAAAGTATGTTAAAATGGATTAATCTAATTGAATCTCTGTTTTAAGCTGAGAATAATTTCTCAGAAGAAGGTTTCTAAGTCTATCTAGTAGTTGAAATTTTTGTGATTTTAATTTATTTTTAATAATGAAGGATACAGATAGTAATTCATTTGTAGAATATTTGAAAATGCGAAAAGGTTAATGTAAACCGAAGAAATAGTATAGAGTACAGATCGAATTGTAAGAGAAACAATAAAATATGATAGGAGTTATTAGTAACATTTAAAGTAGAACAAGAAAAGATTTAGAAATTAAGTTTTTCTATGATGACATACATATTATAAATTGATAATAAAAATTCTTTAATAAAATGTTAAATTCAAAATTTGAATATTTAAAGGTCAGCTATTAAGAGACTAGAAATAAAATAAAATGAAAAAAATTATTTTATTAACAGGTTAAATTGGAACTAGTCTAAAAACTCTATTTAATAAAATCATTAACTTCAATTAAGAAGCCAAATATGAAAGAAATGCTATAACTAAAGACATCTATGTTAAAGAATAATAAAATGGTGGAGTTTTTACATTGATTTATATAGTTAGTTCATCTTTAGTGATTAAATAATTTCTTAACAGTCCAAATTTCGATTTTAGGATAATATCAACAAAATTAAGGAAGATCTATATATATTAGAAATATTGGTATCTCTATTATTTATTCTACTATTTTTTGAAATCCTTTCAAAAACATGTAGTAATTCTGGATTCCTAGAATGTAATATAGACTAACTCAAAGACGTAAGCTTATAAACTGAGATCCAAGGACCCTAAATGGCCAGCGAAGAGCCTAAAGGAAAGGACAATTTGCCCTCTCTCCTTTAAACTATTATGGACCACGAGCTGTTGAGCTTTGGGGAATTTAGACCAGTTTTAGGAATAAATAAGAACAACTTAGATATAGGGATTGTAATAATCCCTAAATTTCTCTTTCCATTTAAGAGAGCTCTGTGCTAAAGGAGTTTCAATAGATTGCTCTAAACTTGGAATCTAAATTCTAATGGGGAGACCAATATTTGTGGGCCATAAGATAGATACCAAAAATTAAAATAAATGATTGATTAGATTTAAAAGGTAGTCACACTTATACTTTGAAAAGGACAAAGAATATAGAGATGACCTGCCATAAATAATACCATAAGGAATGACTTTATATGATCAGATTGTGCATAACTTATTCACCTTCTTATAGGAGTAAGACAGAGTAGTCTATGTCAATTAGAATGGGCTCTTCTACTCTTCGGCACCATTATGTTACCAAGCTAGAATTAGGCTAGGCGATATCTGGGACCCTCCATTTAATTAAAATTTAATTGTGGTAGATTTAGATAGATCATATTTATAAAGAGTGGCAAATCTTTATTACAATTGTATTAAAAAATAAAAATTAATAAATGGTTAAACATTATTTTGTAAGTAGGCGAATAACTTTATTTAAATGATTTAATTACTAAAAGTAATAAGTGATATCAATGTAAATAAAGTTCAAATTAATGTATAAATTAATAAAGGATTTCATAGTTTTTTTTTTAATTAAGGGAATTTTTGGTATAAGTATTTTACATATTCCAAATATATAATTCCCCTCAGAATAAAATTGATCTTATTATATTAATGAACTATCTTCGAACG